AAAAAGTTATACTTTAATCACCGCCAACCAGTAGGGTGCTGGTCTTGCAACTTAATCAGATACTTTCATTACACATAGATCCTTTGTGGATAAATCAAAGAGAAAAGCTTCACGATGGCTGTAAAATGAATTTGTTGGGTGAACTCAGAGAAATGTGCTCATTTCTATTGAAGCATGAATAAGTTCAGATGGAAGGATTAATACTTCAGACGAATACAATATTCTACTATGGATTACAATATTCCATGAACTCAGAGAGGATATCACTTAATTGGGTTTTTCCTTCACACATGCTAAATGCAGGTTCTCCGATACCAGAGTGCAGTATAAAAATAGAAGTGACTTTCAGGAAGCAATGTTTAAAAGTATTCTAATAAGACACATATCAAACAAATTTACCATGAACATGCCATATTGATCAAACACACAGATATCATCTAAGCGATACTTTGAAATAACTGTTAAATACATCTTTCACTCCAGAATAGGCAAACTACATCTGGGGGACATATTGTAACATTTACAAGGAAAACATAGGAAGACTATTTTATGTGTTTATTTTTACCTTGATACCGCAATGACCACTCTCACCACAGATCTGAACTTGGTAAAAGGGCGGGAACGTAATTCAGAGACTTGCAGATCTGCAGGCGAAGGATAGACTCCCATACGAGCTATCAGTGACAGTGTTGCTTGCTCACAATCTTGGAACCCACCCAGAAGGAGGAGGAGGTATTTCTTCTGATAAACAAGAGCCTTTCTAAAACTTTCTGCTCGCAGATACTTCCTGTATAATTTCTGTAGCTGAGAAAAACCCAAGTAAAGGAAATTAATTAAGCAAACTCGTAAACTCATTGCAAGCCAGACCTGTTGACTCTCCCAAAAGTTCTCCTATAACCTGCTGTCTGTCACTTGACAAAAATCAGCTAAAGCCGTTTTGCTCTGGAAAATTGTGTGGAAGGCCATAATAAGAATTGAATCTAAAACAATGAACAAATTGCATAATATTTTTGAAAATAAAACTTTCCATTAGAATTTGCATTACTGAAGCTCCTCCCGATATGAACCATTTACTGAAAAATAGCAGTATTTGTGATACTCGCTGCATGGAAACTTTATATAACGGTCTGAATGTCTGCTATACCTCTACCTGTCCATGAGGCCTTGTCTACACTAAGAAATTTTTGCAGTTACTTGACCTGTCCATTAAGGTTCTAAAAACAGCTGCCTGAAGATATCTACAGTAGAGCTTCCAACATTGCTGATATGAAGGTAGTGACAACAGCAGCTATTTTTTGGTGTAGACAAGGCCTCATGTAACTAACCTTACATGCATGTGATTTTGGACAGTCCAACAGTTTTAACATTTGTGAGCTTCTGAACCCCATATTCACACCAAATACTGGGGAAAACGGTTTCATTGTTAACCTTTAGATTAAAATTTGTATTGACTATTTAATATTAATGAGCATGCATGTTGGATTCAAAAAGTCCACCTAACTTGATTACACTAAAATTGTCACAAATGGGTTAATACATGCTTCGAAAGTTCAAAGAAGTGCCCTGAATACATAATTTACATGGATGGTTGGTAAGTTCTTGTGACACACAAGCCTTTCAAACACAGAGAGAAGCCTGAGAATTACAGAGCAACGTGGATCTTAAATGACCTGGCAACAGGAGCAGGCTAGCTGGCCAGAGGAGACTGAGGTGGCGGCCTAGGAACAACTGACTTAAGATAGAAATGGATGACTGAAGGATGGAAACGTGGGTAGGTTCCGAATGCTGAACCTACAGCTGCTCTGGGACCATAACAGGGCATCACACAGAGTCCATGAGCGGGCACTACTAGAGACAAGCCACCACTGCAACTTGGATTATAGGGCTATGCCCCAAACTGAAGGGACAAAGGTAGGAGTGGATGTAGACTCCCCGCTGGGAAGTCTGACGGAGGAGTTGATTCCCAAAGGATCCTGGGCTGAGAGTTGATGGACTGGGAGGACCTGCCTCCTCCTCTCTCCCTCACAGTCTTGAAGACTGAAGCACCTTGACCGAGCAGGGCATTGTAAAGCAAGCACTCCAACTAACCAGGGTGAGAGTTATGCTTGGCAAGTTATGACCCTATATAGCCACATTTGCACCAAAATACCTAATTTAAACACCAAGTTTTACACTTATAAGCACGTGCTTGCAAACACACTTGTATATTCAATTCATGCCCACACCTTAAAAATTGTGAGCAGTTTCTGTCTACCCATCTCAAAACAATACATGAGAATTGGAATAAAGCAGAGAAGAATAACAAAAAAATTAGAACAGATTCTGTGTGCACAGATTAATAACCCTGGGACCTGTTCAATGTAGAAAAGAGATGACTAATGGGAGTCATGATTAAGGTCTATAAAATCATGAATATTGTGGAAACAGTGAATAAGGAAATGTTATTCACCCCTTCACACAACACAAGAACCAGTATTCACCTTATAGTGATAGAAATGTAGCCGTGTTAGTCTGTTGTAGCTGAAACAAAAAACAGGACTATGTAGCACTTTAAAGACTAACAAGATGGTTTATTACATGAAGAGCTTTCATGGGCCAGACCCACTTCCTTAGATCAAATAGTGGAAGAAAATTGTCACAACCATATATACCAAAGGATACAGTTAAAAAAAAAATGATGAACACATATGACAAGAACAAATCAAATTTCAGAACAGAGGGGAGAAGGTAGATGTCTGTGAGCTAATGGTATTAGAGGTGGGGAAAGGTAAATGTCTGTGAGTGAATAGTATTAGAGGTGATAATTGGGGAAGCTATCTTTGTAATGGGTGAGATAGCCAGAGTCTTTGTTGCGACTCAAGCGTAGTGTGTCAAATTTTAGCACGAATGACAGTTCATTCATGACACCCGGAGAAATAAAATAAATAAATAAATAAATAAATAAATTGAAATAGCCAGACGAATACCTAGAAACCATCTACTTCAAGACAGACCCAAGAAAACCAACAATAGAACACCACTTGTCATCACCTACAGCCCCCAACTTAAACCTGTCCAACACATTATCAATAAACTACTGCCCATACTGGAACAGGATACTAAACTTCAAGAGGCTCTGGGAGACAGACCCATAGTCTCCTATAGACAACCACCTAACCTCAAGATGATTCTTACCAACAACCACAGGACATACTACACTAATACCAACCCTGGTACCTTCCCTTACAACAAACCTTGGTGCCAGCTTTGTCCACATAGTCACTCTGCTGATACCATTATTGGACCTAACCAAGTGAATTATAAGATCAAGAACACATTCATGCGCATCCAGAAATATAATTTATGCTATCGTGCCAAAAGTGTCTGTCTGCTTTGTACATTGGACAAACGTCTCAGACACTTCGCCAAAGGATCAATGTCCACAAAACAGATATTAGACAGGATCACAAAGAAAAAACAGTTTCTTGCCATTTCAACCAGAAAGGACACTATCTCAACGACTTAATCACTTGCATCCTGCTTCAAAAGCCTTTTAAATCTGCACTTGAAAGGGAATCCTCTGAACTGTCATTCATGCTAAAATTTGACACTCTACTATGCATTGTGTGAAGAAGTATTTCCTTTAGTGTAAGCCTGCTGCAAATGAATGTCATAAGGTGAATAAAATACAGGACTATGTAGCACTTTAAAGACTAACAAGATGGTTTATTAGATGATGGAACTTACTGCCAGAGGATATTGTGAAGGCTAAAAGTACAACTGGTTAAAAAAGAATTAGGGAAGTTATAGAGGATATGTCGATCAACCACGATGGACAGGGATGCAACTTCGTGCTCTGTCACCCCCTAAAACTCTGATCACCACATGCTGGAACTGAAGAGAACTGCCCTGTTCTGTGATTCCATCTGGAGCAATCAGCATAGGCTAATGTCAGAAGACAAATACTGGGCTAGATGGACAATTGGCCTGACCCAGCATGGCCTTTTTAATGTTTTTATACGTTTGTCAAAGTCAGGGGTTTTTTTTTAAATGAAAAAGTTACCATGTGCATCTGACTCAAGCATATGTAAGAAAGGTAATTCCGTCTTGTAGAAGTGTTACATGTTAATTCTGAGACATAAGTAATAGAAAAAAATAAGCATCTCAACACATTTTGAGAAGAATTTTAAAGTTGTTTCCAAACATTACACAACAAATCTGTACCCTAAGCACATGAAAACATGGGGAAACCGCAGCACAAAAGTTAAGGGATTCTTTGTGATCTAGCAACTTCACCACTCTTCATAGTGCATTTTTTATCATATTTTGCGTCATCCATTTTACCTTTGGATTTGAAGTTTCCATAACTGGTTTGTTTTCATTTTCAGCAGTAGCTTTGACCAGCTCAGATTCTGCCTGTTTCAAAGCATTCTGCAAAATAGTTTTTTCCCGCTGCCAGGAAGCTTTTTCTGATTCATGGACGGAATGAACATCATCTCTAGAGTGGATCTAAAAAGGAAATTCGAAGAAGGAAATCAAGGTTCATTACTTCCAAAGGAATATAAAAATTATTTACGTCAAATTCTATAGTAAATTGACTGTATGGGGGAAAATGGTTATTCACCTTTAATAACTACTGTTCTTCGAGATTTGTTGCTTGTATCTATTCCAATTTGGAGTGCATATACTGTGAAAATGCCTGCCAGAAAGTTTTATACTAGTGGCCACCTGAGAATAGGGCACCATGCTGACATGCTGACCATGAACAATGTTACGTGGCAGATGAGCTGATATTTGTGTCAATTTATGCACAGCATTTCTAAATAATCAGTCAATAGGACCAGTATGTACAATGATGGGCACAGCACATCAGGTAAATAGCAAATCCTAATATGTACTAATCTATGCAAGTCTAGCATATTGGTATTTTATTAGCATCAGGCCAGCTGGTGGCTGCCTTTGGTCTTCTGCCATGGATACAGCTGTGTGACAGCAAAGAGAAAAATTTAAGCCAAATAAAAATTAACACATATCTGTTAGTTACCAATTCCCTTATGATATAGCCCCTGCTGAAGTTTCTTCTCAAATTGAGAAACTGCTGCTCTTAATTCTAATTTCGCCTCTGTCAATACTGTTACAGACTGCGTAAGTTCTCCATTTTCTTTCAACAAAAGGTCTTCCAGAGAAATTGAACTTTGCAGTGGTTTCTTTTTTTTTAAATTAAGGAAAAATATACTTGCTTTCTAGTAATATTTATAGCTTCACCAACCAGGCTCCAGTTATTCTCATTTTAAACCTTTAGAGTAGGAGGGGGCAAAGCATAACGTGTTCCTCTCCTCTATAAAACAGAGGCAAGTAATAGGTTAAAATAGCCATTTCAGAGAGCTGGTAGAAATCTTCCACTAGCAACTTTTTGACAATTTGACAGGAGTTGAAAGGTTTTATTTAATATTTTTATTGCTGATCTTGGCACCAAAAGTGGAAGTGTCCTAATAAAATTTGCGGATGACACAAAGTTGGGAGCTATTGCCAATTCAGAAAAGGATCGGGATATCATACAGGAAGATCTGGATGATCTTGTAAATTGGAGTAATAGTAATAGGATGAAATTTAATAGTGAGAAGTGTAAGGTTATGCATTTAGGGATTAATAACAAGAATTTTACTTATAAGCAGGGGACACATCAGTTGGAAGTAACGGAGGAGGAGAAAGACCTCGGAGTCCTGGTTGATTATAGAATGACTATGAGCCGCCATTGTGACATGGCCGTGAAAAAGGCTAATACGATCTTGGGATGTATTAGGCGAGGTATTTCCAGTAGGGATAAGGAGGTGTTAGTCCCATTATACAAGGCATTGGTGAGACCCCATTTGGAATACTGTGTGCAGTTCTGGTCTCCCATGTTTAAGGAGGATGAATTCAAACTGGAACAGGTACAAAGAAGGACCACTAGGATGATCCGAGGAACGGAAAACCTGTCTTATGAAAGGAGACTCAAGGAGCGTGGCTTGTTTACTTTAACCAAAAGAAGGCTGAGGGGAGACATGATTGCACTTTTTAAATATATTAGAGGGATAAATACCAGGGAGGGAGAGGAATTATTTAAGTTTAATACCAATGTGGACACAAGAACAAATGGATATAAGCTGGCTAGTAGGAAGTTTAGACTTGAGATTAGACGAAGGTTTCTAACCATTAGAGGAGTGAAGTTCTGGAACGGCCTTCCAAGGGAAGTAGTGGGGGCAAAAGATCTATCTGGTTTCAAGATTAAACTAGATGGGTTTATGAAGGGGATGGTTTGATGAGATAACATGATCTTGGTAACTAATTGACCATTCATTATCAGTGGGAAATAGGTCAATGGAGGGATGATAGGAGTTACTATAGAGAACTTTCTGGGTGTCTGGCTGATGAGTCTTGCCCACATGCTCAGGGTTTAGCTGATCGCCATATTTGGGGTCGGGAAGGAATTTTCCTCCAGGGTAGATTGGCAGAGGCCCTGGAGGTTTTTCGCCTTCCTCCGTAGCATGGGGTACAGATCACAGCTGGAGGATTCTCTGCATCTTGGGGTCTTCAAAGTATTTGAAGGCTTCAATATCTGAGATATAGGTGAGAGGATTATTCTAGGAGGGGTGGGTGAGATTTTGTGGCCTGCACTGTGCAGGGGGGTCAGACTAGATGATCATAATGGTCCCTTCTGACCTTAAAGTCTATGAGCCTATGAGTTTTGACGAGTTACAGAGTTTTGACGAGTTACAAAGTTTGTCATGCATATTTATTATGGAAATTTTCAATTAAATTTCAAAAAAGGGTAAAAATGTTAATTTTTTCCCTATATTTCAAATACTTTTTTAAGCAGCATTACATTGTTACCAAGCAATCACTGAATCAGAGATTTTCAGGCCAGAAGAGCCCACCAGATCATCGAGTCCGACTTTCTGGATAACACAGGCCATTACCACTATCCAGCCTCTACAGACCATATCCAACAATTGAAATAAGATCAATACAGCCATATTCACAGTAAACAATTTCGCAGTGACTTTTTAAATGATGTACTGAATTGTGATGTACCTGGAATTTTGCATATTGAAATAATTATATGTAGATCCATTTATTTAAAATGTACACTATTGTAACTTCCTTATTCCTTTGAAAAACAATCTACGAGAAAATTAGAGGTGAAGAACTTCATCATAATACAACTATGGTCATATGAGTACAGGAGATATTAAAAGAAACCCCTTTTTTGTGGGGAAAGGCCAGCTATTAGCATCCTAGATGCACCAATGGAACATGGATCTCTAAGGGGGAATTTTGCCACAAAACAAAAACTACACTGTTTTGGCCAGATCATCAACTGGTGAAGCCAGGGTAGATAATTTTGGAGCCCGTTCCCATTTATTCTTATATCACTTTATACAATCCTGGCAGCATAAAGGAGCCTTAACACAGGAATAAATTATACCTACTGTAAGGCTGATTTACAGTAACAGACAGGCATAAAGCCTTAAAGTCTCTGCAGAAAAGGACCTGGGGATTACAGTGGATGAGAAGCTGGAGATGAATCAACAGGGTGCCCTTGTAATCAAGAAGGCTAATGGCATATTAGGTTGCATTAGGAGGAGCACTGCCAGCAGATCTAGAGAAGTGAATATTCCCCTTTATTCGGCTCTGGTGAGGCCACATCTGGAGTATTATGTTCAGTTGTGGGCCCCCTCCACCACAGAAAGAATGTGGACGCACTGGAGAGGGTCCAGTGGAGGGTGACCAAAATGATTAGGGGACTGGAGCGCATGACCTATGAGGAGAGACTGAGGGATTTGGGTTTGTTTAGTCTGCAGAAGAGAAGAGTGAGGGGGGATTTGATAGCAGCCTTCAACTTCCTGAAGAGAGGTTCCAAAGAGGATGGAGAAAGGCTGTTCACAGTAGTGACGGATGGCAAAACAAGGAGCAATGGTCTCAAGTTACAGTGGGGGAGGTCTAGGTTGGAAATTAGGAAAAATCATTTCACCAGGAGGGCGGTGAAGCACTGGAATGGGTTACCTAGGGAGGTGGTGGAATCTCTGTCCCTAGAGGTTTTTCAGTCTCGGCTTGACTAAGTCCTGGCTAGGTTGATTCAGTTGGGATTGGTCTTGCCTTGGTCATGGGGCTGGACTTGATGACTTCCTGGGGTCTCTTCTAGCTCTGATTCTATGAAGAAGAATTTGTCCTAATTACTTCAATAGAGTTTTTCTGATAAACAGCAACTGAAGATATTGTTCAGGCTTAGTTTATACCAAGATATACTGGTGTAGCTATGGCATAATGAAGTGTATTAACAGGCCTGTTGTAGGCAAGACAAAAAGGGTTACTTACCTTTCCTAACTTTTGTTCTCCTAGATGTGTTGCTCACGTTCATTACAATGTGTGCACACTTAGCCATCGGAAAGTATTCCCTAGTGATACCCGTTGGGTTGCTTGTGGAGCTCCCTGGAGTGGGGATGTTAAATTGCGGGTAACTGACTAATCCAATTGTTGATGCATTTTGCATCGACTGTTTGATAGGGCGTGTGTGCCTTGGAAGTGTAGAAACACCCCTAGTGCCGTTGCTACACTTTAAACGCAAAAGCTCCACCTGGAGCCGGGGGTCAGCTGGGGACTCCCCGGGCTCCGTGTGGCACTGCCGCTTTGAAATGCTGTGGGAGCCTGATGCTGGGCTCCCTGCAACGTTTCAAAGTGGCAGCGTTGTGTGGAGCCTGGCAAGAGAGATTTAGGTGCGATATAAGAAAACTATCCTTACAGTTAGAAAGATTTAAGTACTAGAATAGGCTTCCAAAGGAGGTTGGGGAATCCCCATCATTGCTACTCATCACTGGACATTTTTAAGAAGAGTTTGGATCCACATCTGTCAGGGATGGCCAAGGAACACTTGGTCCTGCCACAGGACAGGGCACTGGATGAGTTGGCCTCCAGGTCTCTTCCAATCCCCCCCTTTCTATGATTTTATCCATGAACAACCCTCCTCCCATTAACAATCACACATTCCACCTACGATCAACAGCATCCCTTTGACCACTACAACAATTACTTACTTGAAAAATAATAAAAGTATTGTACAATTTTGTTTCTTTTAACGTGATTAAGCAGTTGGAAACAATGAGAACTGGCAGCTCTTCATGGACAAAAAGCAAGAGCAAGTTTCCTTCTCAGACTGTGCTCTGTAGCACTGGTCGAATTATATAAGCCACACTCAAAAAGATTGAGGGCGTCAGCAGGATAAGTTCTCAAAAGCCATCTTCAAATACGTCTCACCTTAGGTTTTTCTAGGAACTTGTTAGTGAAAGAGTGGCCAAAGCATTCTGTGGCCACAAAGTCACAAGTAGACAGTTTTGTTTTAAGCAGCTAAGGAAGGCTGAGAAGGTGGGGCTTAGAGAACTCTTTTTCCATTTACAAGGAACTACATTACAATGTGTCTTAGGAAAAAGACCTTAATGACAGGGCAGTGGTTTTGGAAGATTTTAAATATAACCTTAAGCAAATTCTTCTACACTAGGCAACCTGGTCTGCGACTATTCCTAGACTGTATACAGTATCAAAAATACCAGGGATGCTTCAAATCAAATCTTCCTCCCCTCCTGAAACTTCAAGCCACGATTGTGCTTATGAAAAACTATTCAGAAGTTTGCTAAAAAAGTAAATCTGTGTCTGGATGCGCATAAACAGGAGGCAACATATGCCAGGTTTGGACATGGGAAGCTGTCTCACTTGAGAAGCAGCCTTTGCAATAGCAATCAATGCCAGAAAGTCTACGATTAACACAACAAAGGTAAGATAATAAGTATTCAACTGTTCTTCCCCTCCTCCATTCCCTTGGAGAAAGGAGGAGTTATTTTCCTTCAGAAGTTGCACTAAGCTGCAATTTACATGTAAATGGCAACCAAACGTTGAAATAGAAGCATATTAAAATGTGTGCGCGTGTTGTCTCCCTTACCAGAGGAGTAGAAGAGGTCAATAACTCCGATTTCAACTCCTTTAAAGTATGCAGTAAAGATGCTATAGCTTCATCATTTGATGCAGACCAATCATTAACCGTTCT